TGTGTGTGTGTGTGTGTGTGTGTGGAACCGGTGATTGAACTCAGGTCCTTGCGCCTGCCAGGGAAGGGCTTACTCCACTGAGCCACCTCCCCGGCCCAACATTAAAATATTTATACAAGTTTTTGTTTTCCTGATACACATATGCTTTGAAGGATGCTGCGCTTGGAACACCCAATCCTCAGTCTGCCCTGAGTAATCTGGAATCATACATGAGTCTCCCCTGTGTTTGTCAGGTAATCATCATGACTATCAGAGTCACCTTGTTTCTCTAGCGGTCATGAGGAATAACGCACGGTGCAACTTCCACACATCCTAGATTTTCCAGCACTGTTCAGACTGTGCCACTTATTATGTGACAAGACTACCACTATCAAAGTTACAGTAAGTTGATGAAGAAACACTTTAGGACAAAAATAAACTATTTCAAGGGTTCCTTCTCCAGCCAATCCACACTGGATTGTGGAAAACCAGGTTTTATTTCTTTACTTAGCCAACTAAAAACTTACGGTGTTTTTTTTTTTTTTAAAGTTTTTCTCTCTTTACACTGTCAATTTTATAATTTCTCAATACTTTAAATTCCTTTTTCACATCGAAACAGTTGTTCTTTTCTCTTCTTTTCTTTTATTTTTCTTTTGGCGGAACCGGGGATTGAACTCAGACCCTTGTGCTTGCCAGGGAAGCGTGTATTACACTGAGCCATCTCCCCGGCCCCTAAACTTCAGCAAGGAAAACAATTGTCTGAAATACAATTATTAGTCAAGAGTATGGAGAAAAACAAATTCATTCAGGGAGGGCAAGGTACCAATCACATGCAGCTCTGATTTCAACCGGGCCAAGGGAAATACCAACTACGTAATTTCCAGAACACGCTTTCACGTATTTCTACCAATTTAATCTTAGGTGTCATGATTCGGAATGAATCCACCACGCCAGAACCCAAACAACCAAACTGTTCTGCCATTACAATAATGCCAAGCTGATCACAACCACCCTGTTCCAAGTAGGGTTTATCAAACAAGCATAAAAACAGGACAGCAAATCTAAGCTCCTGGGCTTCCATCCACACGTTAGCCACAGTGCCCACATGTTTACAATCCGGTGGAGTCCGCAAGGGGCAAACCACGCTTCTTCCAGGGGATAGAACCGGAAAGCTGCAACCCACCCGCCTCCCCTGAGTCTGGGTCTGGGCCGCAGTCTGGGGAAACAGAAACTGGGGTGCGGGCGCAGAGTCCAGGGGAGGTGCCGCCAGGCCCGGGTCT